ACCTCGACTCAGTGCGGGGTTCAGTAGCAGCAGTTTGTCCATATTCCTGCTCTGATTAGAGCCGGAAATTAAACAAGCACCAGTTCATCTCAAAAGAGCCTTATACAAACACACACACACACACACACACACATATCCACACCCATTCACATGTCATCACCACCCCCTTTTATTTAAATTTATTATTTTTACTAAAATAATACAAAAAAGGGAGACAGGTATATTTACAAAAATCCATGGCTGGTACAGTACATAATTTTTAAGACACACTAAATGCTACAATCTTTCAGGTCCTGAGATTATTACAAGTATCAACTCAAAGCTGTGTTCAGGTCCAGTTTTATAGGAAGAAAAAAAAATCCCAAAATATTAAGTCACACACTTATTTAAAAATACAGTATATCCCTTCAAGTTAGCAAAACACACCTCCCTATAAACAAATGCAACACAGTAATCAGTGCCTTTCACCCAGAGGAGCAGAGATTATTTATGCTCCTTCTTTCAAGACTGGCTGTGAAACATGTTGGCATCTATGTCATGTGTGGAGGTGGCTAAAGTAAGAGGAAGATTCGTAACCGGAGGGAAGTTCCTCTACAGAGTGAACATTCACTGTATCAGTCAGTCCTGTTTTTCCTTTTCCTTCTGTTACCAAACAAAAGTCTTTCCTTTACCACAATTCCTACCGAAAGGGTTGGAAATACGTGCTTACCCAGACTAAAAATCAGAATCCTTATTTCCAATCAGTTATAGCAAATAGGTCTGCAGTGCACATTTTTAAAACCGCAAATAAACTTTCTTGTTTGTAATAAAGAAATACCCATCACTTAGTTACCATGGTAGACTTTGATTAACATGTTATTTGGGGCACAAAATTTTCTCCAGCAAAAGATTTCTTTTCCTCTTCTTTTAAGCTTGACACTGTTTAGCAAGCAAAACAGAAGAGCAAGCCCCAGATTCACACATTCATCTTGAGAAAAATTTGGTATTTTTGATACTTTTTTAATTTTTTCAATGACAGACAACAAAAGGACAGTAGAAAGCTTGAATTTTTTCTCTGGACGCTGGCTATGAATTTGAAGAATTATTTGTAGATCGGAAACCCACCTCTACTGATAGAAGGGCCCTTTGCTTATCTGAAGGTCTCAGAAGGGGTATGTAATAATTATGTAGGCGTAGCCAGGATTTAAAAAGTTGGTCAAAGTCGGCCAACTTTCTGACTAACTATATAAAACAGTAATAATACCTTTTGTTAACTGAGAATAACTTCTCTTTTAATGCCTCTAGCCAAAACTGGGTATTTTGCAGATGTAGGAAAGAAAACCCAATTTGCTGGCAACAGGGTACATTACCCTACAAACAGCACAGATAAGCAAAAAATAAGGAAAGTGTATGACTGCAAGGACAGAAGACACAAGACAGCTAGGATTTGACAAATTAAGCACAGGCTGTCGCACAGAAAAACATGCCGCCTGGCTGGCCTTGGTTACTGCTGACTCCTACTCAGTGTGCTCAGAGGGTAGACGGAGATGTTAACTGCAAAAACAGTTTTCCAAGTTCTCCTGGGTAATAATAATTTTGTTTGTATTTCAATTAGGTTTCCATTAGTGCTCTATTATAAAATATTTTAGAACTAGATTTAAGATAACATAGAATTATATTATTATTAGCAAAATGGGAACAAATGATATATACAGTTTTCTGTGGAACATAAAATCAGTACTAAGGATTCATATGGCCTGTATGACTCAGACCTTTGCAAAGTAGGTTTACTCTGGGGAAAGTAGGAAAATAAGCAAGGCAGAGCATTATGAAAAATAAGAGCCCCTAACAAAGTTCTGCCTCTGTTAGATAACCTTGAGAAGTATCAAGAGGAAGCCATGAAATGTGGCTGCTACCACATTTTATAGTAATCTATTTTAATACAAAGAAGAGGAGAAAAACAATTCCAGTCACCAATCAATCTAAGTCCTGGGCATATACAGACCCCTTTAAATTATACTACTGAGATCATGAAACGGTTTGGAAAAGTGTCTAAAATTTCAGTGCTAACCCACTATAAAATATATAAGAAAGACTTGGAAATAGAAGTATTCTATTATAAAGAAATTTAGCAGAGATCAAAAACAGCTACTTTCAAGCAAATAGTACTTTTAGAGTATCTGAGAAAAATGTAATCTAATATCAAATTGTTCATCAAACGCAGTCTGATTAAAATCCTGTGAGTCCCTGTCTGAGTCTGTGCTGGGATGTAAACAATCTCCTAGAATATGCCTGAACTCTTTATTTTTTAATTCAATGGGGACACAGGATAGATGGCCTAAGTGAGAAAAGGAGATGAAAAACTGTTTAACCTTTTCTCCCCAGACTCTTAGCAATATGCAAGTTATATTTTAGTGTAGCAACTGGCTGATGAAATGGTTCACTTAAGAGCTCAGACTAGAAGAAAGAAAATGAAGACTACAGGAAATGTAGAAAGAAGAACTCCAATATTAATATTCAAAGCTATTTTTAATTAGAATCTTACTATCTGTTCAGCTCTACAAATCTGAACACTGTGCCACAGAATCTCAAACTTTCTTAGAACTGAACATTGGGATGATTTTATTTTAACAATCCAAAGATATTCCATGATTCTACCTATAGTTTTGCACCAGTAAAAGGACGTGTATTTATTTTGAATATAAAGTTCACATTTTAGGATAGATGAACACACACAAAAAAAATCTCTATTTTATGCTTCTGCTAATTTTTTGTAGAGGAACAAACACACATTCAATAAAACCCTTGTGCCTTATTTCTTTGGGTAGAAGTCTTAACCTGTTATCTGAAGAATGGAAAAATAGGGAAAATGTGGAAAATAAAGAGTGTGTTTATCTGCATAGTTGATATTGAGAGGCTACTAAGGCTTTATCTGGAAAAAGCAACAAAAAACCAAAAAGTGATTGAAAAACAAAACAAAACATCCTATCCCTAGAGATTAAATAGGCCTTTGCCAATTCTGGGGATTAACCCATAGGCTTTCTCTGCTTGGACCTGGTGTTTTCTCCTGACTTATTTGAACTGGACAATTTGTTCCTCATCCCCCTACATTCTCTTTCCTGACCCTGAAACATGTGCTACAATTTAAATCTACATACTTCTGTGCTGGGATGTAAACAATCTCCTAGAATATGCCTGAACTCTTTATTTTTTAATTCAATGGGGACACAGGATAGATGGCCTAAGTGAGAAAAGGAGATGAAAAACTGTTTAACCTTTTCTCCCCAGACTCTTAGCAATATGCAAGTTATATTTTAGTGTAGCAACTGGCTGATGAAATGGTTCACTTAAGAGCTCAGACTAGAAGAAAGAAAATGAAGACTACAGGAAATGTAGAAAGAAGAACTCCAATATTAATATTCAAAGCTATTTTTAATTAGAATCTTACTATCTGTTCAGCTCTACAAATCTGAACACTGTGCCACAGAATCTCAAACTTTCTTAGAACTGAACATTGGGATGATTTTATTTTAACAATCCAAAGATATTCCATGATTCTACCTATAGTTTTGCACCAGTAAAAGGACGTGTATTTATTTTGAATATAAAGTTCACATTTTAGGATAGATGAACACACACAAAAAAAATCTCTATTTTATGCTTCTGCTAATTTTTTGTAGAGGAACAAACACACATTCAATAAAACCCTTGTGCCTTATTTCTTTGGGTAGAAGTCTTAACCTGTTATCTGAAGAATGGAAAAATAGGGAAAATGTGGAAAATAAAGAGTGTGTTTATCTGCATAGTTGATATTGAGAGGCTACTAAGGCTTTATCTGGAAAAAGCAACAAAAAACCAAAAAGTGATTGAAAAACAAAACAAAACATCCTATCCCTAGAGATTAAATAGGCCTTTGCCAATTCTGGGGATTAACCCATAGGCTTTCTCTGCTTGGACCTGGTGTTTTCTCCTGACTTATTTGAACTGGACAATTTGTTCCTCATCCCCCTACATTCTCTTTCCTGACCCTGAAACATGTGCTACAATTTAAATCTACATACATGTTGACTTAAATCAACAACTGTTGCTCAGCAATTTAGCCCTAACTAAAAATGCAGCATCTATTTTTTCCTGTTTTTGTTTTAAATACTAAAAGGAAAATTCTCTGTATTACTATTTCACATGACAGGATGGAAGGTGGAATAAAATGATCTTCATCTCCTTCTTGGAGTTGGGCAAAATCTGTTTCCTTCTACCTCCACCCTCACCACTCCTGCTCCAGCTAGGAAGTGAATCCTGCCCCTCTCACCCCATTCCCTACCACCTGGGCAGTTGACGGCTCCAACTCTTTCATGGGTTGAAGAAACAGATAAATTATAAAGGTAGACTGGCTAAAAGTGTGCCTAGCTGACTGTGTGTAGCACTTACCTCTTCAGTGCAAAGCTGGATAAGTGTATAGAACAGGAACAGTACACAGTCTCTGGTTTACAAGAATGAGAGAAGACTCCCACCCATTCTTAGAAAGTTAAAAGCTTAGCTATCCATCACCAAACAATATAAGGAAATTAAAATGGAAGATGGAAAAGTGAGGCAGATAAAACTTCCAGGATCATTTATCAACTCCAACAACCAAGCATCCAAACTTTACCTAGCTTTAGTTCCACAACTGTGGTGAAAATCACACATGTAGTAACACCATAAAGGCTAAACAAACCTACTTCTAGTTCAGAAACTTAGTGTTATTCCCCCTCCCCGTTTATCAATCTGAAACTAACCATTTTATCCCACCACAAATATGTTTAAATAACAAATATGCATCTAAATTAGAATTCTAGTGTTTTTTTTTAACTTCAAAATCATATGGTGCTTTTTATACCCATCATAGTGAAACATTTTTAGCCTCTGCAGGAAGATGATAATACTTTTTTAGTTATATAGGACATTTTAGAAAAACTCAAAAGTATTTTTGAAATAGTAAAGTCTCTGATATCCCTGGGAGGTAGGTGAATATTATNGGTGAATATTATTATACCCAATTTTCTAATGGGTAATCTGAGGCACGAAGGTTAAATGATATTCCCCCTAAACATAGTAATTCAAGAGTAACACGACTGACCTGAAGCCACCTGATAATTGTTTTGCTGTCAGATAACACTACCAGGAGCCTCTGCTTTCTCCTCTTGAGCCCCCAGTCTCCTCTTCCCAATTAAAATGTACTTAAAGGGAGCACTTATTAGATACATTTGTACCAGGTTTTGAGGATTGGTTCAACTTAGTCTCCCTTAACATGTCACTTCTGTTTTCAACAAGAAACAGATGAATCTTAGATACTGAAAATTATGTTATCTTGCTCCAGGGAGAAATCTAAATAACCATAAAATCAAATTAAGACAAATGTAATTTTCTGGCAAATAAAAAGAAAACTGAAGATCTCTCAAGAATGCCATAGTTTATATGTGATTGTTTTCCTCAGCATTTAAGTCTTTCTACTTCAAAGTTTATTAACCTTTTAGTGGATATGCAGCTATATGAATTCTCCAAAAATCATTTCCCAGAAGAAAACATTATGCATTTTTAATGTTGACAAAATTGCTAACTTCCTTCAAAACTCATTTAGATACAATACCATGGTTTTAACTCTAGCTTTCCCATGTGTTTAGTCTTGCCTGCCATAGTGCATCTGATCAACCTGACCCACAAAAGACTCGTTATTCCAGTGCTTTCTCCAATATACTCTCACCAAGTTTGAAGGGCATAGAGCACTGGGTTACATCCAGGAATAGTTAGTAAGCCCACTAAATTTATTTCACTTGTAATAACTGACTTACTATATATATATGTATACACACATGTATGTGTGCATATAAATATATATACACACATACACGCACATTTTTGTTAGCTTCTATAGATATTCAAAAGGGGAAGATAGCATCTTGTGAAAAGACAATTTCCCAATCCACCCATTTGAATTGATTAAAAGCAATGGAATAAACAAGGCAGAAGTTCTGCAAACACTGAAGGGAGAGTGTTCAGAAAGGATGTGATGTTATAGCAGCTACTATATATATATATTATATAGCTACTACTATATATATATATATATATATATAGCTACTACTATATAGTATATATATATTAAACATGTTTATGCATATATACACACACAAACATGTATGTATCTTACACATACATCCTGATACATATAAAGAAAAACAAGAACATATAGTATGACATGACGTTGGCAAGTCTGAGATTCGTCCTCTTGAATCCCCTTACCAGTCTGTACTTTAGAATATCTGAGAACAGTTTTGAAAGAGGGGGAAAAAGAAAAAAAGGCACTTAACAAAGACAAAGGCCTGAATTGAGCATGTTTTAGAGTAATAGAAGCATTTTACCAGAGCTAAGAAATGATTTACAGAGTTAAACTTTTCCTCTTAAACTTTAAAAAATAAAAATTGCAAAGCATGTTTGAAATCATTTACGTACTACTGCATCTTTCTTCTGCTTCATTATTACAAAAGCAAAAGTCCCCCAAAGCCAACAAAACAAAACAAAAATCATACATGCACCATAGAAAGTAAAAGTGCCTCTTCTGAGAACTGAAGGTCAGCAGAAATTATAGCGCTGAAGCACAGGGAAAGTTCTCAAGTTTGGCCTGATCATAGATTTCTCACTCTTCTATTTCTAATTTAAAATAAAACACCAATGAGCAAAAAAAGCAAACACAAATTCAAAACCTAAATTATGATTTAAAAGAATACAGGAACCAGTGTGCTTTTATGGTACACTCCTAAAATAAAGTATCCTAATGCTATACACGGGTCAAATTATCCGACAAAGTCTTCAAGAAATGAAGAACTGTAAATTAGATTAAAGTCGACCAATACAGGCAAAATTCATTTTACCAATGTAGCAGCAAATATGATAGGTAACTGGAGTTCTAAGAGATGATCCCAAGGGACATAGAGTTCTCATAATCAATGGCAGTTTGAGTAACAGTAGAATTTCCATTTCAGAAAATGTCTGGAACCAAGTAGAGGTGGAAAGGGGTGCGTGGTAGAGGGCAACCAGAAAGAGAAAGACTAGAGGTGTCTGCCCCTTCCAACCCTGGGTAGTAAACAATTTAGCTCTGCTTTGGGGAAAAAAAAAATCCTGGGTTAAAAATCTTTTCCAATAAATTGTTTTCAAACAGGTGTCAAACCCACAGTATTCAAACATGTATGTGGCCCGGTTCTTCCTCCTACCTTGGTGATCCATACATTAAACCCTATTTAACTTCTATGATATAAAAAATGTAATTTGGGCTAACAACATCCATCAAAGGGGTGGTAGGCATGAAAGAATGTACTGACACAATCCTCTGATTTCCTTAGAATACCAGGATTTTGTGACTTAGATTAACCTCGCTTCTTTCCAAACCTTTCCTCAGGCTGTTTTAAAACCATGATTTCTTCTTTTGCCCTCTGCTCTCAGAAGCACACGAGAAAGAATTATAACTGATTTACAATAGAATTATTGCTTGCATTGATTCTGGAGGCTCCGAATGAGCTTGACACTTTGCTCCCAACAGTCTCCAACTGAGGCTCAGCATTGCTATCCCCGAGGATAACCATGCTGACCGTTATTGCTTGTGAATACTGAGGATTAACGTGTATGTACAGTAACAGCTTATACGTCAGTGAAGGCAATTGAAAATACAAGACAGGTGAAAACAAACAGCTTAATTTTCCTGAATCAAGAATCCCGCTGAGTGGGATGTAATTCAGTGTGCTGATTACTTTTGCATTGGGATGTTGCTAATGCTCTTCAGAAATACACACTGTTCTATATCCTTTCCAAATAACATTTTAAAAATAACATAATTTGACTTTTAAGTGCAAAAATACAGTATGAGTCACAAGTCTCTGTGCTAAAAAATAACCAATTTATATGTTTGTTTTTAGTAAGAAAAACTGTAAAGATAGATGACCACAAACTATGATCACCATTTTCAATGGTATGATCTAGAAAAGAAATAGTTTTGTATTTACATGTAGGAGCTTTCTGATAATATTTTATTAAGAAATATAAGGGTGTTTGTTTCATTTGTACAACACAAAAGGGTAGTTTTGATAGAAATGGGTATAACTTAGTGAAAATGTGGTGGGAGTGTGAGGAGGGAACCGCAGCCCTCAAGGAATCAAGAATGAGGAAAACAGATCGTAATCTCCATATATATATATATGAACTTCTCAGAGCCAAGGGCCTTCAGATAGTTTTACTGGATAGTTATAAAATGATAGTGGGGGGAGCAGATAATCCTTTTCTTCTCTAATGACAACAAAGAATCATCAGGGATCTTCACACAGCATGATTCAGAATTGATGGATTTAAAAAATTAAAATTAATATTCCTTGATTTCAACTATTAATGAATTTATATACAAATAAATATATGTGTACACATATACACAGATGAATACACGCACAGTTATCAGCAGGAAAAGAGATTAATATGCATATGAATTCTCTCATAGTATTGGAAGTAAAACAAAGGCTAGCTTCCCAAAGGAAAATGCATACATAGTATTTAGCAAAGAGGTTTTTTTTCCAAATTATATAAAAGCAAGAGGTATGCTACACTGGAATAACTCAAGAACTGGGAAAGCTTCCCTAATTAAAGAACCAAACTTTAATCAAACATACTCGATTCAAGTCAAATCTCTCTGCAACATCCCAATATCCTTCCAAAATATCTACCAGGATTGAAAAGACATTCATATTTGTTTCACTAGTAAACTAAATTCTTAGAGGCAAGTAAATATATCAATTATTCCTCTGAAATAATCCTTTCCCCTTACTATAACAAGTTCTTGGAACTAAAGTTTTCAGTTACTTATTAACTTTTTTGCTAGGAAGCAAGCCAATGTGACTTTGAAGTCAAAATATAGGTATACAGATCTGAATAGATCTGTTGTAATTTATTCAGTCCTATAGGCTATTTGGGACTTCTGCTTATAAAAGGAAAAAAAACGGCTCAGTTAGTACTCTACTTGCATAAAATTAACAGCATAGGGTGATTTGTAATGAAGACTATGCAAGAAATCTTGCTACTACCAATTTGATGCTGTTTTTTAGGTTGGTCTGTCATTACACATGTACCAAGTTTACACCATTCTTGGGTGCAGTTTGAAATAAGAAGTCTAAATAGGAGGAGAGAGAGAGAGAAAGGGGGACTAGATCAGTAATGAGGTTAAAAAAAATAAATAAATAAAACGTATCCAAACAGAACCATTTCTCCCTTAACATCCTTTGTTGAACATGCTACTTGCCTAAGAAAGCTGTAATAATTAAGGAGTCTTATTAACTGCAGGTTTATTCACTTATCAATATTCTAAGTAGATATTAATAAAGCTTTAAGATCCCAAATGCTCCAAGTCAATTTTACTACCCTGGATAAGGGAGTAAAAATACACTGTGATTGTTACAAAAAAATAATTGTACACATAATGATCCCAATGTAATTCCTCCCCTTAAAATACTATCTTAAAAATTCCAAAAATATATATATGGCATTTGAATGAGCAATGAAGAAGCATATGTAATACACACTTATCCCTGTTTATATCATGGGTGATCACCTGGAGTACAACTAGCCAAGAGAACAGGAGAAATTATGAACTGAAGTGAAGCTGGGGAAACTTAAGAGTTCACAGAGCAGGAATGTAAGGGCTAAGAGCACAAAAGTTGCGGCCCTACATCACAGATACCCATTTCTCAAGAGACAAAAGTGAACACAGTCACTTTTTAACAACAAGAATGGAAATAAGAATTAACCAGTCAATTCCAGATGCACAAACCACCTGAAGAAGAGAGGTAAGTGCCTGCTTCTGAATGGAAAATGAAACTGACCCTTTTACAAAAAGGGGACATCTGTTCTGTCTGTTAAGAGCAACAGTTTCAATTTCTTGACTTTAAAAATCTTGATGACTTAATAATATATATCACTGTGCTAAAATTACTTTCCTGAAGTATCTTTAGTCCACTGATTTACATGGGGAGTTGCTATATACTAGAGAAGATTCAAGTTTGTTCAGGATTTTTGAGGGTACAGTATTTATTCAGCTGTTATCTGTATCAGACATAGGGTCATTAATTTTTTGTGGCAAATTTGCTGCATAGTCCATTCAAATACACATGATTGTTACTCCTGACAAACTGGCCTAATTCCAGATATGCTGCCTTTTATTATGCAGTGATGTCTATAAGTGTTCAGATCCAACCCCCAGGATGGATGGAGTTTACCCAAATCCTCAATTTCCTTCTTCCTCCCGGGGAATAATCAAATTTGTACTTCTGTGGGTTTGACAACTGAGTCTCTTTCAAGTCAGTTAATATGGTAACTTTGTCTTTCTTTAGAAGAGACCAAAGGTCGCTAACTTTGCACAAAAGCATTTCTTCCTCCTGCACCTGGCTTTACTCAAGTAATGTTTTATTTTCCTTTTCCTCCTCACCACAGTGCTTGGGACGAGAGAATGTAAACATCGACAGAACAGCAGCCCTATGACCACATGAGTACTTTCCCATCAGGTAGATTCCATCAGCCAGCTGAGCGTCTCCTCTCCTTTGCTTGCAGGGAAGTCACTGAGATTTCCGTGGTAATTTAGTGTCCCCTTTACTTTGGCCTCCATCTAAGAAAAGAGACATTCAATTGGTATGGGTCAGCAAGGCATAAAAAATAGATTCAAGAATGATTGTGCATTGAGCATTGACCCCCCTATACAGAATTTTATTGTTGTTAACAACCATTTGATCAATAAATATGAGAGATGCCCTCTCAAAAAAAAAAATAGATTCAAGAAAGCAAAAAGGACAATTAACTTTTAATTTTCATGTGCATGGCACTGCTAAAAATAAAACCTGTAATATCTTGCACACTATATATAGCATTATAAAGGTTGAGAAAACATAAAGAAGATAATCAACAAAAGCGATCCTCTTATGTCAATGACTGTGATTCAATTCATTTTCAGTGCCCTATGAATACTACTTCAACAGGTATTTTTTATCCACCTCATAGCCAATTGTGTCAAATGCTATGAGGATTTACAATGCTTATAACACAGAAGACATAATCCTCACCTTCAAGGGATCTACAGTTTTTTGAATCTCTTAAAAGAAAAGGCCAATTTTATTTCCTTGCAAGTGAAATTAAATTTCTTGCCATGACATAGCATTTGATAATTCCCAGTTATTTTTGTAAATGGACGGGGCACACTGCTAGTGAAAAATCCAGCTGAATCTTTGTTTTGGTTCTAAAATGGCAAAAATTGTGATAGGCAAGTCTGCTCATGGAACAACGGTTTTGTTTTACATAGTTTTACATATATGGCTATTTAAATTTCACTGGGAAAAATGATTACTCTATTTAAACTAGAAAGAATAGGGCCCAGTGACCTCAGGAGCTGATAAAATACCAAGAAAGTCTCTAATAGGTCATTGCCTTCACAAGGACAGTGGACCCTACCTCCCACCCCCACCCAGTTATTGCATTATATTAACAATCTTAAGGCTGGAGGAGACCAGAAAAGTCACATTGCCAGGTTTACTTATGTGGTATCTAAATTAATCTGGTAAAACAGAAACAAAACCAAAAAATTGCTTGTATTGAAGAAAAGATATATCAATGAAACACGATTATTTCAAAAGCTGTATGAACACAATACTATTAAAATAATTTTGGTGACAACATCAAAGGAATTAGCTTTTCCATTTATAATGAAAGTAAATACTTGCATATGTGGAGAGAAATAATTTGAGGTATAATTAAATTCCTAAAATGGCAAGGTGGGACTTTGCTCAACAAAGCTTTAGTTAAGTTAGTAAAACAAAATATTCATATTACTTGGACTGTGATATTCTTTAGAACATGGTCTGGCCCAAGGGCCAAATCTGGCTCACTACCTTTTTAAAAATTTTTTCATTAAGGTATTATTGATATACACTCTTATGAAGGTTTCACATGACAAAACAATGTGGTTATTACATTTACCCATATTATCAAGTCCCCACCCATACCCCAGTGCAGTCACTGTCCATAACCACTACCTTTAAATTTTACTGGAACCCAGCCACATTCATGTTACATATCATCTCTGGCTGTTTCGGCACTACAGTGGCAGAGTTGTGTATGGCCTGCAAAACCTAAAATATTTACTATTTGGGCCTATATAGAAAAGTACTGACACCTGTCCCTAAGCTATATAAGGTCAGAGAATTAACACTAAGTGAGCTCTTCCTATGTATCATGTACCATGCTATAAGCTTTAAGTTAATTATTTTTATTAAATTTTCATAAGAAGCCTATGAAAAACAGCTGACTCCAGCTTACAAGCAAAAAAAGTGATAGTCAAACAAACTCAGAAACTTGCTCAAAGTGGCAGTCCTAGAATTTAAAAAATCCAATCTCGATTCTCAAATTGAGTATCCTACACTTTAAAATGTTTTTAAAATGAAAAATTGTACACTTTTTCATTTCAGTTATGCAGAAAATATGGACAGTTCTTTTTCCTTTCTCCCTCTGCAGTAGTGGTGCTGCTCAGACACTAAGATAATTCATATGAAAGCTGGAGTACTCAGGTCATGTTGAACCCCAAGAATACTGTGGGTCTAACTACTTGCAGGTTCATACCAGTTTCCCCACGAGCACAGAGCCCTGAGCTGGACTCATCACACCAAGCAGCTGTCAGTACCCAGAGTGGAACTGCTTTAGTCAACATGGCAGTTTTTCTTAAGCACTAAAACCTGATCAAAGGGTTCAGGAAGATTAGCATTGCTGACATTTGTGCCTACTTTGTGTCCCCCATTCCCCATTGCACAACTGTAGTTTTATATCCTTCTCTCAATGGGTGAGTCTCAGAAAGCTTACCACTTAGGTCTTCCTAGGATTAATTACAACCTGTTGCCTCGAGATTGCTACATAGCCTCCATTTCTGCATTGTGGTCAATTGTGAACTTGCTCAAAGATAATTTTAAATGCCATGGCCAAAAAGAACAGTGAGGCCCCAGTCAACTTCCAAAGTCAAGAGGGCAACAGGAAGATACTGAAATGACCTTCAGAAAATTATCAGCAGTCTCCTGAGAACTGCCGGTGAGAGCAAGGACCTGGAAGCCAATGCGTTTGTATTGGTAGTCCAGTGTCTACTACCTAATTCAGATTTCAGAGCGACCTAGTTGGGCTGCAAGTATATAATGCACAGTTTGGGCATATTAATTTAATCATTGCTAAGTGCCAGCAAAGTTTAATAGTTAAGAATACAGGCTATGGAGCCAAACTTCCTGGGTCAGTGTATCATTCTGGCAAGTTTTTACTTCTAATTCAGTTTCCTGATCTGCAAAATGGGATCTTTAGCTCATTCACAGGTTGTTGTAAGATTAAAGTTACTGACTCATATAAGTAGTCACAAGACTATCTGGTACTTAGTAAGTTTTCAATAAATGTGAACAATTATAATTAACTGGACATGACTTTTGTACATTATCTTATGAATCCTCTTATTGGTCATTTCAATATAACAAACACCTTCAAAAAAGGCTCTCTTCACATGTAACAAAAGATGTCATTTACCTACTTCCTTTCTCTTAAAGGGGATGTGTTGCTAATGAAGATTCAGTCACAGGAAAATCTGTTTCATCCAACCTTTGTCACAACATGTTGTTTTCAGAAAGATTTTTAATCCAATCTATATATCTATACAAATAATAAAGCGAAGAAAAAGAGGCGGCTTTCTTACCATTAAATGTTTGCTGTAAATGTGCAGGCAGAGGTGAGTGGGAAAGTGTTGCTGTGTGCTGAGCTCCTGGCTGTAAACCCTTTAGTAAATCTGAGAGGAAAACAGACTTGTCAGTGATCTTACTAAAATGAACATTTGAGCCCTCTTTGACCAAAAATGAAAAGTTTACCTGATGAAAGTACAGCCTCTGACTTCAAAGTCACTCTTAAACTAGAATGCATACATGGAAAATTTTTACATATATAAACTTAGATATGTATGCAAATAGTTCAACAAATTTGATTTCCTCTTATAAATATCATGAAGATAGAAATGTGGTATAGATGGTTCATTTCAAAATTGTAAATAAAACCTCAGAGCCCAGTAATTCTTATATATAGATGAAGTAAACTACATTTCTTAAAAAAATATTCTGTAACCTTCACTAACTCCAACTGGACTGCTCTGAATTAGTATAAATTTGGGAGGTTCCCTGTTAAACTAGGTAGGCAAGTACGGAAACGAGCCCCACTTACTCTGAGTTAGGCTATGGTGGAAAGCGGCTGAGGTAGATCCCGAGGTGGTTGTCACTCCAGCTGTGTCCGTTCCAAAGCCAAGTAGCTCCAAGGGAAACTGGAAGGGCATGGTCACTGGAACAAGGCCACCCAGCATCCCAAAAGGAGTCACATTTTGATTTGTTACAGACAAAGGTGATGTCATGAGAGTCAGAGGTGAGGCATTAGCCAATAATGATGCTCCTGCTGTGGACTGCAGAAACCAGGGGTCAAAATACATAAGAAATAAATCTTTAACCTGAATTGATTTATTTTATTTCATATCCTCATGGGCGTAAGACTGTGTCTTTTATCTGCTCTAACAGAAACTTTTTAAGACAGAAATAAAGGCTGAGGTGAAAAATATATTTCAAAGAGCTACCACTACTGGTTTTGGAAATAATTCTATACTCAGCTCTTCATCACCAGTGTAGACTCCTTCTTATCTTGTGTTTTGCCTCTATGAACACACAATCACTCTCTTAACCACTCATTTCTAACCTTAGATTTCTACTTTTCCACCTGTGCTCCTAGCTCTTAGATTTGAACCACTAGTAATTAATTCCATACAATCTCAATTTGGTCTCTGAAAAGGCTTGGTAATTTCACTGTCTTGTACTTTTTCTTGGAACAACGCCCACAGTTGCTGCTCCAGACTATGATCTCTCATAGAGTCCTTAAGTCAATACCCTTTCCTTTCATCACAATATCTTAAAGAGATGAGGCCACACTGGATATCCTTCCTGCTCATTAGCCTTATTTGCTTCTCCTCCAAAAGTTAACCACATGACTTATGCCATGAATCCCACCTATGCAGAATCTTCTGGTACAAATATCCACTATTGCACTTTTTGATATATGCCTTCTCATATACATGGAGACCTCATCTCTTTCTATAGCCACACTGTTATTCCTGGCTCTTCTTGAAGCCCTGGGAACAACCTGACTTGTTTGTATTCCTTTTATTATCAAACTTACTCAATAATAGCCTTTGTTTTCCATAGTATCTAGTCTCCTTAACACCTAAATGCTGGTTTCCATTTCCACTACTATTCTGAACAGACTACCCAAGGTAATAGGTAAATTAGAGGGTGACTTGACATACCCCTACCTGAGATTTGATGCCATGTTTATGAATAAATACACACTTACAGCAAAAATATGCTAATACTGATACATTTTCACTGAGAAACTAAATATACTTCATTAAGCTAATTTTTTAAATTGAGGTATAGTTGACATACAGTACTATATTGGTTTCAGGCTAATTATTTGAACAATTTTCTATACAGCAATTAAATAATTGTGACTTTTCTATGTGCACTTATCTACAGATATCACAGTAGAATTTCCTCAGTATATTATTATAGTTTCTTCAACTGTGAGTTTTCTTTTTTAGCCTATTTTATCAATTATAAATTACCCTGACCAAAAATTTCACAATTCTAAATTTGGTCAAGAATACTTAATTCTTTGTATATTTTTAGTCAATAATAAACATCAGCTCTTGTCAGGTTTATTTTATGTGTTGATTTATCCTATCAGTAAACATTATTAATAATGAGCTGGTCATTTTCTTAGTTAATATATGAGAAAAATGCAGGTGATCTTCCCATACATATATGCCATATTACATATACTCATACACATAATGGTCCATGCCACTGCTGAACAAAAATGACAATCTCAAGGCATCTATACTGGTTTTTCTACTATCTCTCCAATAGGCTTCCCTTCCCTTATCTCTTTATTTGTTACCTCTCAAATTTATATTCTGACCTCTGATCTCAATTTCCTATCGTGTATATCTAACAAGCGCACGATCACTTGGATATCTAACACCAACTCAGCATGTCCACAACTGAAGTAATTATCTCCGGCAAGCATTTCCCCCACTTATACATCAACTGCTATCAATAGTCTCATTCTTTCCTGCCACTCAGGCTTGAAAACTTAGTTCTAGGCATCATAAAATGAAGGGCAATTTGAGCTCACAGTCAAAATACTCACTTCCTTTTTTTTTAAACAACAACTGCTCCAACACTTAGGTACAAATCTTCATCACTTTACGGTTGGATTTGACTACTTTTCTTATTTCCAGTTTTTCCGTCTACTGTGCCAACCATGATATACAAAATGGGTGCATATGGGAAAGAATTACTGAGTTAGAAATAAAGCTTTGATGCAGTTTGGATAGAAAGGATCCTGCATCAATTTAAGAATTTAACAAGAGTTCTTTCTTCTTTTTAATAATTAATTCTATTATAGTCTCAGGTACTATAAGGCACACACTCCAAGTGGAGCTCAAGCAGAGCCCCCTAGAGAGGAACAGTAAATATTGCTAATAGAACTCTTGTTAGGTTTACTCGAGGAGGCTAACTGAAGTATTAGAAGAGATGGAAAATGTCTATTAGGGTAACTTCCAAAATGGAGAGTAACTGGTATTAGCAATAAAAAATGGTACAATGCCGTAACTATCTAACATTTTGTACTTTCAAAAACCTTCCATATCCACTTTTGTTAATAAAACTACAGTGAAAGGGCATTTATAAATTTCTCCCTCCTAGAAGATGGGGGACCTTTCAAAAGTGGGCTATCCCACTGTTGTGATCATTTAGAAGCATATGGGACAAGCTGTCAACATAAGGCAGGCAAATAGTTCAAGACAGCATCCATATTCCAAAACACCTTCCATGACCTCCACATTTCATTTTCAGGGTAAAACAGGAAGGGTAACCTTGCTCTTCCTGTGGTGGGCATTACATTTTTAATTTTTTAACCACATGTTTTATTTTGGTAAGTACATCTGCCCCCACCATTCCCACAACACACAAACTGATCTTTTGAAATATAAATCAGACCATACCACTACCCTGTTGAAGACCCTCCAGTAGCTTCCTACTGCACATGGAATAAAACCTCGAGTCCTTTTCATGGCCCACAAGGTTCTCCATCACATGGCTCTGGTTGTTCTCTGGTCTCACTACCTATCCTTCTCTCCCTAGCCTAGCCATTCAGGCTACACCAACAGGCTTGCTTTCTTATCTCAGTACCTTTACACCTACCATCCCTCTTGCCTGGACCCTTTGCTCCCTCTGATCCCCAATGGTTGGCTCCTCCTCATTGAATTCTCGGCTCGAATGCTGCCTCCTTAAAGAGGCCTTCCCCAACTCTCCTACTATGTTAGCAGTAATCACACTTTATCATATTTTTGTTTTTTATAGCACTTAACATTTGTGAAAATTTGTATTTAGCTTATCTTCCTCCACCCAGAATATATGCTCCATAAGAGGAGGGACCTTGAGTATGGAGGTCACCCTATTTCCCCAGCACCTAGAAGAGTGCCCGGCACATAGTAAACACCTAATAAACACTAGCTTAATGAATGAATGACTTTGGTAATTATAAAGTGACAAAGACAGGATTCATTAAAAAAATCAATTAAGCTGAAGGGCAAGAAAGAAGAGGAAAACCGTGAGTGGAAAGTTATTAAATAGAAAGCAGGCAGAAGTAAATCTGAACCTAGAAAGATTTTAACTTTTGTTAAACTCAGGACCTATCATTTTTACTCTGCAAATGAGCAGACAGCTGCAGATGTCTTTCAGACAAGAGTTGAGTTTTGCACGCATTGACAGGAAATGTTTTTAGTGTTGGAATACTAGAAGGACAGGATCCCAAGGCCACAAGGTAGCTGATAACACTTCAATGAGATGCTGTTTAAAAAGAAAAAAAGAACCTTAGGTTCACCAGAAGTTGAAACAACCTTAATTCATTTATTGACCTTTCTTCAGTCAAACCAGTAAGACAGAACAAAAAGGATCCAATACGATGGCAGAAACACTAAAGTCTGAAAACCATGAAGCCATTTCAGAAAGAGAAAACCAGGAGGGAATAGTTACTTTTTAGCAACAAAAATTTTGCCATGTAGGTTCTATGCTGACAAACTAATTGGTAAACAATAGGTATAGTGAATATCTGGTTATGTTGGGGTTTCCAGGAAAAAAAAAAAAAGAACTGGTAGATTCTACAGATGACAAAGGATGAAGAAAGACTTAACCATAAATTCAAAGAAAACAAAGAAGAAAAAAAAAAAGCAATTTTTACCTCCAGGAAAAAAGCCAAGAATTTATAAGAAAGCAAATGAAACCATAATTTGTGAATATTCAGCTCAACAAACACAAAATTTTACACAGTCATGGACTTAGCCAAAGTTGTGATACTACTCTTTCAGGAGAACGGGAAAGGTATGAGAGAGCTAAAAGCCTTATTTATAACAAGAAAGAGTCAAAAGATAATATTAAAAATGAATAAATTAAGAATCTTCTATTCACTCTTATTAAAAGCACAGAGAAAAAGTTATGAGTTATAAGCAGTTGACACTAGGAAGGAGGCTATGGGGCTGGGCACTGCCATTTCTGCCTTAATCCTCTCACATGTTCTTTGACTACATTAAAGATTAATGTCAATAACAGTCAACATTTTAATAAAGACAATACAAACAGGAATGTAGACTAACTCCCAGATCTTAGTTATAACTTAAATTTTAACATATAATCCCTAATCATTTTTTTTGTGATTTTCTTATTTCTCATTGAAGTAAAATTATACAGATACAAAACATCAGTTAATTCTAGATTTCAATAAATGAAGTATCAGCTGAATTTTGTTCTGTATTACAATTCTGGAATAAATCCATTTGTAAGCCTACAGTAATGGTGGAGTGATGATTTGGGTTTTAAGTGTATATTAAACAATATCGCTTTGCCTATATTGAACACAGAGAACCTCTACAAACACCAAGGGGAAAGTTCTTTCATTAGATGTTCCTATTCCATATAAATAAGAGGTAGGACAAAGTTAAGAGTACTTTCTTAAAACAACAGAATTCCATCAATTAGCAAAATTCCTATTTTCAAAGAAAATTTAAGAACCTAAGAACACATCATAAAAGGTTATTCACATTTTTTTAAAAAGTTTATTATGAAACAGAGTATTACGTAAAACCCACTTTCTAGGAAAGCATCTAAAAAAGTACCAGAAAAATAAAAGCAATGGTGGAATGATGATTTTTCTACAATGAACATTATTTTTCATGGAGGGGAAAAGAAGGTTAAAGAAACCAAATCAGCAACGTGAAGGACAAATCTGAGAAAGTCTCGGACTACAATGAAGTGGCAGAAAGACAAAAACAGTAACAGAGTAGATGATATGAGGGCAGAAGGATGAACTGTGTAAGTAATAAAGACCTAGGCCAAATGGATCAGAAATTATAATCAGGCACACAACAGAATAAAAAATTCTTGAGTTGAAAAAACTGCCCTGAGATTGAAAGATGTAATCATGTTCTAAGCACAAAATTAGTGAAAACTAGACACATTTAGTCATAGCCTGGGAATATCTGAATTTCAAGAAGAGAAAATGCTGTTAGCATTTAGGCAGAGAAAACACATACCTGTAAGGGAACAAAAAAATCAGAATGTCCTCTGACTTTTTTAATAATCCTAACTACTAAGCAAGGGTCATGGACACTACAGTTTGGAGTGAGGCAGTTAGTGAACCAAGAAGTCTACACCTATTCAAGTGTGACAGCACAGAAACAATCAGATATGCAAGAGCTAAGGAAAGAGCTTCCATGTGAGCCTTCTCAAAAAGATTTCTCGAGTGAGCTATTCCTGAAAGAGAAATTTAAACTAAAAACTCACTATAGGGAAACAGTGGTATAAAAGGATTACTGACTAATCAACTCTGTAGAGGGGAAAAAAAAAAAAGGATTACTGACATTAGATTATATATGAATAACTGCAACATTTGTACAAAATAAAAATTTTATTTGAAAAGACAAATGATTAAAGGAAAAAAATAATATGAATGTATAAATGTGATTACACAATAAGAAAGTTGGCAGAAGGAGACTAGGGCAGGGAGGGAAGAGAGGAGGTAAGTGCAGATATGTTTAATTTATAAGTTACTACTTTGTTCTGGACTTCGATAAGATGTAGTTTAAAATATACACTTTGGTTCTGTTTTTTTCAAAATTTTTGAAAGCAAGCATGTGATATTTTACTAGAAAAAATGCACATCCCACCAAAAACCTCATGTCCAAGTGTCCCCATCATCGTGATGTCACCATCAGGAACATTCCTTGGCCTTAAGAAATAATAAGCAACCTAGAGTAACATCACTAAGTGTATTCATAAGAACGCTTACACAATCTTACATGGACGTAGATCACATACATACCTGCACACTGGCTGTTACCACTGAAGACCCTGAGGCAGAGGATGGTCTATGTGGAGTAGACAATGGTTTAGTAGCACCCTGTGTTCCACTTCCTGTTCCCCCAGATAGACTAGTCCTATTAGCTCCACTTGAGTTAAGGTTGCTACCTCTGCTGGCAGGTACATTCACTGCAATTCCACTCAAGCTATTCTTCCCAACAGTTCCAGTGGATGATGAGTTTGTTAGCTTTGAAGGGGCCTGAAGATTTTTTGTAGACGGAAGGCCTGAAGTGCGGTTCGAGGGCAAAAAATTCAAGGTGGGAGACTGTCGGCTGATGTTCATTCCACTGGGCTGTTTATGGACGGGGTTGTTACTGCTGGAGTGGCTACTCTGGGCTACTAGTGCATTCGGACTGGAAGAACTTGGGGATACAGTAGGTTTGGGAGCTGGGTTGGGTTTAGAAATGAGTTTAGTTGATACTGAAGGCTTAGCTGACAGAGAGGGCTTGGGTGAGGCAGAAGGCTTAGGTGAGGGCAAGGGTTTAGGAGATGCGGCAGGTTTTGGAGATGCAGCAGGTTTTGGGGATGCAGCCATTGCGAAGGGAGACTTGAAACCCTGCGTGGGGATTTGTGACACCATAGCCTTGGCTAAATAGTTACTGGAGGTAGTGGCGCTAGGTACTGTCCTAGAAACCAGGGGGTGGGACCCTTGAGAACCATTTCCAGGTGAGGGAGTAGATAAGGGAAGGCGGTACATAAGTGGCTTATCTGAAGTCTTGATAAGGGGGGATGAACAGGAAAGTTGGGGATTATTACTTAACTTCACCACTGGGTTGGTCTGTGATTTACTAATGGTTGCTTGTAATGGAGACACATAGTTCTGTGGGACAGCTGAATGCTGGTGCACCTTTGTTACTTGTGTTAACGAAGAAGCATCTTGGGCCTCTGATGTTCCCAGAGCGTGAGAGGAGGCAGCAACTTGGGCTTGGGAGGAAGAGGAGACATGGGTCTGTGAAGAGGAAGCATGAATCTGGCTTGACCTCTGCAGTCCTTGTTGAAGTAGCCTGGCTGGCAAAGGTTCTAAGGAGACTTTAGGGTTCTGAATTGAAGAACCAGCAATAAGGCCTGAAGAGATTCCGGTATGAGCTAAATCCTGGGGTTTCTTTGGTACTGGCCCTGTGTGACCAGCAATAAGACTTGATGAATGTGCAGTCTGAGTAGAATCTAGTTTCTTGGGAGCAGCCAGGGGCAGCTTACTCATGATACTTGCTAATTTTTCCTCCCTCAGTCCTGGACGAGGTTTTGCGGTCGGCACACTTATCCTTGAACCAGCTGCAGGGCCCTTGTTCCCATTGTTGATAACAGCCAAAGCTTCAGAAACAAGATCCAGGGCAGGTGGGTGGAAAGAAAGGTCTTCATCTAGCGAGTCGTCCAGGCAGATGGTCTCCTGGGCCGGCGTGGAGCTAGAACTGGTGGAGGCCACAGCGGACGTGCTGGAGCTCACTGAAGGACCACCGACTGAAGCTGCCACGGAGGCGGGAGTTTTCTGGTCTTTTTTCGGACTACACTCCTAGCATAAACAGCATTATATGGGAAACGATTAAATGATTGATAGAAAAATCCTAAGTATTAGATTTTAAAGGACTAAGAAATCCTTATGATGTTTAAAATTCTACCAGAAATCTTTAGAGACTGTAAAAACCATAATAATTTTTTGAGAGGATAGAGCTGCTGAGTGAACCATCCTCATAAGCTAAAGTACCTAAAATACTGTACACAACTGCCATACCTTAGTAAGCCATACTAAGAAGGCTTAAAACCAAGCCAAAGGAACATTCATATACCAGTTCCATTATTGATGAAATGCGCCTTGACTCACCCTCCTGTATTAGATCTTTGGATACTATTCCAAAGCCATCTGTTCAGAGACTATTCTCTTTTTATTCTTTTTGTACTGAAGAAAAGTTCTGCCCAAATTCTGCCCTCACCTTAAGCATCTACCTGTCTTCCATAGTGTGGTTTGCAAGGACCTGACCCTTACTCTGCTTCCTTGAATTTCTGGCTCTTTGGATTCCCTGTCCTGCAGCTCCCCATAGCCAGTTCATAGAGAAACTGGTACATCAAACTGTCAGATAATCCAATCCAAGCATGCTAAAATTATGTTTTCTATTCACTATGGTAAAAGTCATTTGTAATTTACTCAACATATATTTACTAAGTGATCACTGTGAGCAAGGCATTATGCTAAGAAGCAAGGGTGTTAAGAATTAAAACACTGAATACCTAAAAGACTGATTCTCCCAAAAAAATTAACTTTCTTAAAATTCAGTGAAGAGTAAAATATTAAGAGGAGGAGAACTAAAAAGTAACTTTCTCTTAAATAAGAAATGTAAAGTGTTTGACTCATTTCATTTATAAGATTAAAAAATAAAACTATTACATAAAAATCATCTCAAAATTCCTTCAAGTCATTTCCTAAGGACAAACCCAAATAAACCCAAACCCAAAGTCCCATATCACATATTCATTTACACAACCACAGCACTTACCTTAGCCATAGTTGGAAAAGGAAGGCTCCTTACTAGCACCTTCTAAGGAGTTGCAGTAAATGAACTGGTAACAATGCTGTGATACTCTAACCTCCTTAGCAATTTTTCTAACCTTCTATTTTGAAAGCCCCAACTGTAAAGTTCATTGCCCCTCAGAAGTCCGTAGTATAACTGCAGTAAGATCAAAAGTGTCTGCTAACATGAATGGTATGCAGATGAGCTTCCTCTGACATGCTATCCAATCACGCAATTAATGAAAATTATTAAAGCAAGTAAAGAAACTGAGGGTGGTGAGTGAATCAGAGTAATATTGGTAATGTTACCAGTATATTAATATTTTTTATTTATTTAAAAAAAACATTAAATCTACTTGAGAGTACTATATATTTACAGTGGCAGAGAAAATTGTGCAGGATATACATTTGAATCAAAAAAGCAGGTCATCCCATTTGCCTAAAATGTTAATTAAGTATGGTTAAACAGAACAGGTGGATGGATGGATGGAAGGAGGGGAAGTAGGGACAGAGACCCAGAAGGGGGCAGATTTTCTGGGTGAGCAGTATTTCTAGATACTTCTACAATTCTCATTTTTTGTATTGTTTGCATTTTCTGCATTTCCTTTTATTACCTTTACATGTATTTCCTTATATTGCCTTTAGAATTAAATAGGTATTTTGAGGGACAATAAGGTAGGAAAAAAACACAAAAAACAAAAAACAAATCAGCAAATACAGTTTTTCCAAGAAAAGGAAAAAGTAATTTAATCACACAAAAAAGATGTAAATCCCCTATACCATCCTAACACATTCATTATTAGAATTCTGATGAACTCATTATGTTTGAATAGATTTATCAAAATTTTACAACCCTTTATGGGAGGTATTAGGAGTTTAAAAGTAAAGTAAGTGGCAAAACAAAGCAGTAATTCAACAGATTTAATGAAATATTGGCTCAGTATTATTTGGGTTAGAAGACAAAGTGGGTTACTAAGAAAAGGAGCACTATTTACTCTGTATTCAAGGAGCCTCATTTAACATTCAAGTTAAGAAGGGCACAGAGTAACAAATGCTGACCTTCTGGCCATAACCTCATACGCAAATAAACTCATCTTTTCCAAGCTACAGGGTAAGTCTAAAACCTAAAGAGTGTGTGGGTTTTCATTACAATTTTAACTTCAAATGATTATAGTTTTTACTTTTAGAGTATACCTGGCTCTTTTTCAACTCCACATTGTCCATTTTGATGGATATTTTTTATCCCCTTTTCTACTTTTTAAAATATTTTAAAAATTTAAGTTACTTTGCATAGTACTGGAGGTCCTAGCCATGGCAATCAGACGAAACAAAGAGATACAAGGAATCCAGATTGGTAATGAAGTCAAACTGTCCCTGTCTGCAGATGACATGATATTGTACATAAAAAACTCTAGAGACTCCACTCCAAAAGTACTAGAACTAATATCTGAATTCAGCAAAGTTGCAGGACAAAAAATTAATACACAGAAATCTGTTGCATTCCTGTACACTAACAATGAACTAGTAGAAAGAGAGATCAGGAAAACAACTCCATTCACAAT